GAGCAGCATGTTCAGGGTAATTATTAGCAGCACACTTGGCACAGAAATAAACGGCGCAATCCTCATCCTTGAGGTTGTTCATGGTCAGCGTCACCGAGCTCTGCCCGTTGTCCCTGGAGATCGTGAATCGGCCCTTGACCGATGGCGCGTAGTAGGTGTTGGCACTATTGAAGCAGATGCCTGCGACGTATTCCAAAGCCTGCCCGGGTCTCTGGCGGATCCAGTACATTCCATAATCCCCGAAACTCAACCCAGACCCTCGGCAGAGGAGGCGCAGGGACCCCCCGGGGGGCTGGAGGTCCGCCCCGCACTCCAGCAGGGTCACGGCGGCCCGGAGCCCTGCGGGACAAAGGGGAGATGGGGATGAGAAACCTCATTAGTCTAGAGCCTCAAAGTGGGCATGGCTGCAGGTAAAAGGGGCAGGACCCACCTGGGAGGAGGAGGATGATGAACTCCAAGGGTCCCAGTTTGGGGCCAAGTGTCAGGATTTGGGTCAAGGGTTGAGCTTTGGCCTCATCCCCATCTCCCCTTTGTTCTGAAAAGCTCCGGGCGGCCGTGACCCTGCTGGAGTGCGGGGGGGACCTCCAGCCCCCCGGGGGGTCCCTGATGTTGCTGTGCTGAGGGTCCAGGTTCGATGTCGGCGCCATCACCATGTTCTGGGTCCGCCAGAGACCTGGGCAGGGGCTGGAGTTGGTCGGGAGCATCAGGAAGGAGGGCTGGAGCTCAATGTACGTGCCGTCGGTGCAGGGACGGTTCACGATCTCCAGGGACAACGGGCAGAGCTCGGTGACACTGACCATGAACAACCTGAAGGACGAGGATTCCGGATCCTATTTCTGTGCCAGGGCTGCTGGTGGTTATGGTGCAGCTGCTCATGGTGACGATGCCCCTGATGGTCTCAAGCTCCTGCCGTTCATCCAGCTCCCATCATTGAGTCCCCAGAGTGGTGATTTTCATCCCAAACCTCACCCATTGACCCAGCCCTTGACCCTTTGTCCCCATTTGCACCAATGGTCAGCACTGACCCCAAACCCTCCCCTGCTCCTGCCCCAAAACTCAACCATTGGCCCCAAACCTTCATCCCTGGCCTCCAGTTCAGGCCTCCTCCAATCAGGGCCTGGGAGCAGGGGGAGATTTGAGTGAAATGGGCAAAATTGGGGAAACATCAGGAATTCGGACAGCAATAGTGGAGACTGTGGAGTAAGTTCAAAAACGGGGCCAAGGTTTGGGATTTGGGAGAAGGATTTTGGGAAATTTTGGGAACTTGGGCTGCGGGCTTGGGGCGATGCTGAGGATTGTCACCATAAGCAACAGCAGCTCCATTCCAACCATCATCACTGCATCTGGAGCAGAAATAGGATCTGGAATCCTCATCCTTGAGGTTGTTCATGGTCAGCGTCACCGAGCTCTGCCCGTTGTCCATGGAGATCGTGACCCGGCCCCTGAACGATGGTTTGTAGTAGGTGCTGCCATCGCTTCTAATCCCTCCAATGTGTTCCAGCCCCTGCCCAGGTCTCTGGCGAACCCAGCCCATCCCAAATTTTCCAAAATCGAACCCGGACCCTCGGCAGAGGAGGCACAGGGACCCCCTGGGGGGCTGGAAGTCCCCCCCGCACTCCAGCAGGGTCACAGCCGCCTGGAGCCCTGCGGGACAAAGGGGAGATGGGGATGAGAAACCTGATTGGTTGAATGTCCCATACTGCATGTGGCCAGCTGGGAAAAGGGGCAGGACCCACCTGGGGGGAGGATGATGAACTCCAAGGGTCCCAATTTGGGGCCAAGAGTCAGGATTTGGGTCAAGGGTTGAGCTTTGGCCCCATCCCCATCTCCCCTTTGTCGCGCAGGGCTCCGGGCGGCCGTGACCCTGCTGGAGTGCGGGGGGGAACTCCAGCCCCCCGGGGGGTCCCTGACAGTGCTGTGCTGAGGGTCCGGGTTCGATTTTGGCAATTTTGGGATGGCTGGGATTTGCCAGAGACCTGGGCAGGGGCTGGAGTGGGTCGGAACCATCACCAGCAGTGGTGGCAGCACCTGGTACGCAGATTCCATCAAGGGCCGGTTCACGATCTCTAGGGACAACGGGCAGAGCTCGGTGACGCTGACCATGAACAACCTCAAGGATGAGGATTCCGGATCCTATTTCTGTGCCAAATCTGATGCTGTTTATGCTGATAATCCTGGTCGTAGTGATGCTGCCATCCCGATCCCCATGTACCCCCCAGTCCTCGTTGCCCATACCCTTCCCCCAAACCCCCAGCCCTTGACCATTGATCCCAACCTTGCTTTGCCTCAGCCCCAGTTCTCACCCACGGACCCCAAACTACAACTCCTGACCCCAAATCTCCATTCTGTACCCAAAACTTTGTATTAAAAAGGGCAATTTCAGACCAAGGTTCAAGATATGGGTAAACTTTGTGGCGGGAAGTGGAGAATTTGGGGAAGAAGAACTCCAGGGTTGGGACAGAGTCAGGAATGGGCAAAAGTGTTTGGGTTTTGGGGAAGGGTCTTGGATTTGGGAGCCGGTCGGGACACGACCACAGGGTCCGGACCAAAACCTTCAACACCAACACCAGTACCCCAATTGTTATAAGCAGATTTCCCGCAGAAATAGGATCCGGAATCCTCGTTCTTGAGGTTGTTCATGCTCTGCGTCACCGAGTTCTGCCCACTGTACCTGTAGATCATGACCCGGCCCTTGACCGATGGCGCGTAGCTGGTGCTGGAACCGTCTTTCTTTATCCCTCCAATGTATTCCAGCGCCTGCCTGGGTCTCTGTCGCACCCAGTACATGGTAAAACTTACAAAACGGAACCCGGACCCTCGGCAGAGGAGGTGCAGGGAGCCCCCGGGGGGCTGGAGGTCCCCCCCACACTCCAGCAGGGTCACGGCCGCCCAGAGCCCTGCGGGACAAAGGTGAGGTGGGGATGTGAAACCTGATTGCTTGAGGACCTCAAAGTTGAAGTTGCCAGTTGGAAAAGAGTCGGGACCAACTTTGGAGAAGGATGAGAAGATCCAGGGGTCAGAATTTTGGGCAAATAATCAGAATTTTAGTCAAGGGTTGAGCTTTCTCCATCCCCATCTCCCCTTTGTCCTGCAGGGTTCTGGGCGGCCGTGACCCTGCTGGAGTGCAGGGGGGGTCCACCAGCCCCCCGGGGGGTCTCTGCACCTTCTCTGCCGAGGGTCCGGGTTCAGTTTTGGCAGTTTCGCCATGCACTGGTTTCGCCAGAGACCCGGGCAGGCGCTGGAGTGGCTCGCGGGGATCAGCTACATTGGTGGCAGCACCGGCTACGCAGATTCAGTCAAGGGCTGGTTCAGGATCTGCAGGGACAACAGGCAGAGTTCGGTGACGCTGACCATGAACAACCTCAAGGACGAGGATTCTGCCACCTATTTCTGTGCCACATCCTACAACACTGGTGCTGCTCGTATTGATGTCGGTGCCATCCCTATCCCCGTGTCCCCCTGCCGTCCCCATTCCCCAGATGCTTCCCCAGACCCCCAGCCCACACCCAGCCCTTGACCATTTATCCCAATCTTGCTCTGCCTCGGACCCAATTCTCACCCACTGACCCCAAACCACAACCCCTGACCCCAAATCTCCTCTTTTTGCCCCAAAACTTTGAATTAGAAGTTGAGATTTTAGGCCAAGGTAAATACTTAGGTCAACTTTCTTGCCAGGTATGGAGAATTTGGGGAAGAACCACTCTAGGGTTGGGACAGAGTCAGGAATGGGCAAAAGTGTTTGGATTTCAGGGAAGGGTCTGGGATTTGTGGGCCGGTCGGGACGCGGCCTCAGGGTCTGGACCAAAACCATCCACATCAGCACCAATACCCCAATTGTTATAGTCAGATTTCCCGCAGAAATAGGATCCAGAATCCTCGTCCTTGAGGTTGTTCATGGTCAGCATCACCAAGCTCTGCCCGTTGTCCCTGGAGATCGTGACCCGGCCCTGAACTGACGGCGCATATCTGGGAGTGGCACTATCACCGGTGACACTCGCCACAAACTCCAAACCCTGCCCGGGGCTCTAGCGGATCCAGCCCATCCCAAAACTGCTGAAATCGAACCCGGACCCTCAGCAGAGGAGGCACAGGGACCTCCCAGGGGGATGGAGGTCCCCCCCGCACTCCAGCAGGGTCACGGCCGCCCAGAGCCCTGCAGGACAAAGGGGAGATGGGAAAGGAAAAAGCTCAATCCTTGACCAAAATTCTAATTATTGGCCCCAAATCCTGACCCCTCGATCTTCTCATCCTTCTCCAAAGTGGGTCCCGACTCTTTTCCAACTGGCAACTTCCACTTTGAGGTCTTTAAGCGATCAGGTTTCCCATCCACATCTCCCCTTTGTCCCGCAGGGCTCCGGGGGGCCGTGACCCTGCTGGAGTGAGGGGGGGACCTCCAGCCCCCCGGGGGGTCCCTGCTCCTCGTCTGCCACGGATCCGGGTTCAGTTTTTGGAGTTTTGATATGGCCTGAATCCACCAGAGACCCGGGCAGGCGCTGGAATGGGTGTCACAAGGATCAGCAGCCCTGCTGGTTCCAGCACCGACTATGCGCCATCGGTGCAAGGCCGTTTCAGGATCTCCAGGGACAACGGGCAAAACTCGGTGACGCTGACCATGAAGAATCTCAAGGACGAGGATTCTGGATCCTATTTCTGCGCCAAATGTGTGGATGGTGGTTGCTATGATGGAGCTGCTGGTGTTGAACATTTTGATTCCATCCCCATCCCCGTGTCACCCCCGTCCTCGTTGCCCAGACCCTTCCCCCAAACCCCCAGCCCACACCCAGCCCTAGACCATTGATCCCAACCTTGCTCTGCCTCGGCCCCAATTCTCACCCGCTGACCCCAAACCACAACTCCTAACCACAAATCTCCTCTTTGTGCCCCAAATCTTTGCTCTGGAGGTCAGGGTTTCGGGCCCAGGGTCCCGATTTGGGGACAAAGGTTGAGGATTCGTATCAGCAGCTGTGGCTGGGAGCGCAAAGTGGGGTTTTGGGGCAGAATCAGACGATTTTGGTGCAAACTTTGTTGGATGTCAGGCAGAACCAGTTTGGGGGTTTTGGCTCCATGGTTGTGTTGTGGAACTGCGGGAGATCTGGGAAAAAGGGGCAAGAATGCGGTGAAGGGCTGGGAGTTAGGGGCAGCGTCTGGGGACTGGGGACAGGAGAGGACACTGAGATGGGGCCTTGGATCCACCATGGGTGTCATCTAAATTAGCACCAGGACCCACATAACCAGCACGAACACCCTTGGCACAGAAATTGGATCCGGAATCCTCGTCCTTCACATGGTTCATGGTCAGCGTCACCGAGCTCTGCCCGTGTTCCCTGGCGATCCTGAACTGGCCCTTGACCGATGGCACGTAGTAGGTACTGCCACAAGTGTTGGTGATCCCCATGAGCCACTCCAGTCCCTGACCGGGGCTCTGGGGGATCCAGTACATGTCATAGCTCCCGAAATCAAACCCGGACCCTCGGCAGGAGAGGCGCAGGGACCCTCCGGGGGGCTGGAGGTCCCCCCCGCACTCCAGCAGGGTCACGGCCGCCCGGAGCGTGTGGGACAGAGGGGTGATGGGGATGAGGCGGTGCAAAACTCAGGCAGAGCTGTCCAGTTAAGCAATGGGTGAATTGGGGTCAATTGGAGGCTTGAAGGCACTGTATAATACTGGGCATCTCTCTTGGAGATTTTGGGCCAGACATAGAGAATTTGGGGCAAAACTCCAAGGAAGGTTTGGGGATGGGGGAGTGGCCGTAACCCTGCTGGAGTGCGGGGGACCTCCAGCCCCACGGGGGGTCCCTGCGTCTCCTCTTCTGAGGGTCCGGGTTCAGTTTCGGGAGTTTTGGAATGAACTGGGTTTCTCAAAGACCCGGGAAGGGGCTGGAATGGGTCGCATACATCAGCAACACTGGTGGCAGCACCTATTATGCACCATCGGTCAAGGGTCGGTTCACGATCTAGAGGGACAACGGGCAGAGCTCGGTGACGCTGACCATGAACAACCTCAAGGACGAGGATTCCGCCACCTTTGTCTGTGCCAAAATTTGGGCTGGTAGTTGTGGTGCTGCCGCTGGTAAAGACATTCATTGTGATGATGTTGGTCATGGTGGTTTTTTTCTGAGTCTTCATTTTTTAGTCCCCTCTGTCCCCAAACTCGGATCATTCCCCCGAACCTGAGCCCTTGACCCTTTGTCCCAAATCTGCCCTATTTGCCCCAATGGTCAGCACTGATTCCAAACCCTCCCTTGCTCCTGCCCCAAATCTCAACCATTGGCCCCAAACCTTCACCCCTGGCCTCCAGTTCAGGCGTCCTCCAATCAGGGCCCGGGGAGCTGGGGGAGATTTGGGGGAAATGGGCAAAACTGGGGGAAAGTTGAGAGTTGGGTCAATGATGGTGGACACTGGGGGAGAAGGTCAAGAATGGGGTCAAGGCGTGGGATTTGGGGCAGGATTTGGGGATTTTGGGACATTTTGGGGAACCAGGGATGGGGGTTTTGTGCCACCACCAGCATCATCACCATGACCATAACTCACAGAGAGGATTCCAGCCCAGCCCCAAGGAGCAGCCCCAGACACCGAGGCCGCTGAGGGAGAAGTGAAGCCCCAGGTGGGAGCGAGGGAGGGAGGGAGGATCAGACGCCGCGATTTTGGGGCTCCGCAGCCTCCCCCCACTTCCTCCCCGGCAGGTGCCGGGGCCCGGCCGGGGCAGGAAAGGAAACAGAAAGTTCCTGGTTTTGGTCATTGTGAACATCTGTGTTTGGCAGAGGGCAGCTCAGCCTCTGGGCGCTGCGGCAGAACGCCGGCGGCACAAAAAGCTTTGTGTGCAAAGGGGCCTGGAGCGATCCCTGTGCAACACTGGGATGGAGGGGAACTGGGAGAGATTTGGGAGAAATGGGAAAAATTGGGGGAATCCAAAAGCTGTGGCAGCAGGAGTGGAGTTAAGGGGGAAATGGTCAAGATTTGAGAAACAGGGGTGGGGATTTTTGGGAAGGATTGGAGAATTCTGAGATATTTGGGAACAGAGAGAGAGGGCTCGGGACCACAACCACCATCAACACCATAAGCAGGACCACCACTACCACAACTACTGCTGTAACATTTGGCACAGAAATAAACGGTGGAATCGTCGTCATTGAGGTTGTTCATGGTCAGCGTCACCGAGCTCTGCCCATTGTCCCTGGAGATCCTGAACCGGCCCTTGACAGAATCCGCGTACCCGGTCAAACCAGCATTGCTGTTGATCCCCACGAGCCATTCCAGCCCCTGCCCGGGGCTCTGGTGCACCCTGTACATGCCATAATTCCCAAAACTGAACCGGGACCCTCGGCAGAGGAGGCGCAGACACCCCTCGGGGGGCTGGAGGTCCCCCCCGCACTCCAGAAGGGTCACGGCCACCCGGAGCCCTGCGGGACAATAGGGAGATGGGGATGAGAAACCTGATTGGTCGGGGGCCAAAAACTGGGAGGGTCAAGCTTGATAAAGGATTGGGACCCACCTGGGAGGAGGATGATGAACTCCACAGGTCCCAATTTGTGGCCAAGGGTCAGGATTTGGGTCAAGGGTTGAGCTTTGGCCTCATCCCCATCTCCCCTTTGTCCCGCAGGGTTCCGGGCAGCCGTGACCCTGCTGGAGTGCGGGGGGCACCTTCAGCCCCCCGAGGGCTCCCTGCGCCTCCTTTGCCGAGGGTCCGGGTTCAGTTTTGGCAGTTTTACCATGTTCTGGATCCGCCAGAGACCCAGGCAGGGGCTGGAATGGGTTGGAAGTATCAGCAGTGGTGGTGGTACCATCTACTACGCACCATCGGTCCAGGGCCGGTTCACGATCTCCAGGGACAACGGGCAGAGCTCGGTGACGCTGACCATGAACAACCTCAAGGACAAGGATTCCGGATCCTATTTCTGTGCCAAAGTTGCCTATAATAATTGGCGTGCAGCTGCAGGTGTGGATGGTGTTCACCCCATCCCTGTCCCTGTGTCCCCACCTGACCCCGTTTCCAGGACCCTTCGCCAGACCACAGCCCCTGACCCCATTCCTGTCTCCGTGTCCCAGCTCTGAACTGGCTCTGCCCCAATTCTCAGCTCCTAGACCCAAACCTCAGCTCTTAGCTTCAAACCTCAACCAAGGTCCCCACACGTGGGTGCAAATGGTCGAGATTTGGGAAAATGGGCCAGATTTGGGTCTGTGGCTGTGACTCAGTTGCACTATGGATATTTTGGAGCAGAATGGGTCCAGTCTGTGGGCAATGGTTGGGATTTAAGAGCCCAGGATGAGCTCAGCGTGAAACCATCCTGATTTGGGGCCAGGAGCTGAGATTGGGGCAGAACCAGTTCAGAGCTGAGACACGGGGACAGGAAAGGGGTCAGGGCTTGGGGATTGGAGGGAGGATCTGGGGAATGGGGACAGGGGGGACATGGGGACAGTGAAAGGGCCAAAAACAACAACAGCTCCAGCACCACCCCAACCTCCATTAGTTAAACCAGATTTCACGCAGAAACAGGATCCGGAATCCTCGTCCTTGAGGTTGTTCATGGTCAGCGTCACCGAGCTCTGCCCGTTGTCCCTGGAGATCGGGAACAGGCCCTGCACCGAATCCGCGTACCCAGTCAAACCACCATTGTCCCAGATCACCGCGATGAATTCCAGCCCCTTCCCGGGTCTCTGGCGCATCCATCCCATGGCAATTTCCCAAATTCAAACCCGGACCCTTGGCAGAGGAGGCGCAGGGACCCCCCGGGGGGCTGGAGGTCCCCCCCGCACTCCAGCAGGGTCACAGCCGCCCGGAGCCCTGCGGGACAAAGGGGAGATGGGGGTGAGGAGCTGGATTGGCTGCGCACCCAAAATGGGCACCGCCATGCCAGAAGAAGTGTGTGGGATCCAACTGGGAGGATTGGCAGGGTCTGCAGGAGGAGGATGGTGAACTCCAATGTTCCCAATTTGGGGCTAGCATCAGGATCTGCATGCAAGAATAAATATTTGGGTTGATTTTTTTCCCCATCCCCATCTCCCGTTTGTCCCGCAGGGCTCCGGGCAGCCGTGAACCTGCTGGAGTGCGGGGGACCTCCAGCCCCTCCGGGGGTCCCTGCGCCTCCTCTGCCGAGGGTCCGGGTTCAGTTTCGGCAGTTCTGACACGCTCTGGATCCGCCAGAGACCCGGGCAGGGGCTGGAATACATTGTAGATATCAGTAATGGTGGTGGCAGCACCGCGTACACGCCATCTGTCAAGGGCCGGTTCAGGATCTCCAGGGACAATGGGCAGAGCTCGGTGACGCTGACCATGAACAACCTCAAGGACGAGGATTCCGGATCCTATTTCTGTGCCAGACGTCATAAATATTGGGGCGCTGATTATGGATTTATTGATGACGCTGGCACACTCATTATGGGTAATAAATATCTCCAGTCTCCAGCGATCCTTCCCCCAAGTTCCAGCCCTTCTCAAACCTTCATCATTTCCCCCCAAACTTTGCCCCTGCTGCCTTTACTCTAGAATTTCCCCCAGTTTTGCCCATTTTACCCCAATCTCCTCCAGCTCCCTGGGCCCTGATTGGAGGAGGCCTGAACTGGAGCCCAGGGGCTAAGGTTTGGGGCCAATGGTTGAGATTTGGGGCAGGAGCAGGGGAGGGTCTGGGGTCAGTGCTGACCATTGGGCAAATGGGGGAAATTTTGGGACAAAGGGTCAAGGGCTGAGGTTTGGGGGGGAAGAGTCTGGGTTTGGGGACTGGGGGGACTCAGACAGGGGTGATGCCAAAACTGGCATGGTCAATATAAGCAGCAGCAGCACCACCAGCAGCACCAGCATAATCAGATTTGGTACAGAAATAAACGGCGGAATCCTCGTCCTTGAGGTTGTTCATGGTCAGCATCACCGAGCTCTGCCCGTTGTCCCTGGAGATCCTGAACCGGCCCTGGACCGATGGCGCGTAGTAGGTGTAACCACCAGTGTTGCTGATGTAGGCAACGAATTCCAGCCCCTGCCCGGGTCTCTGGCCAATCCATTCCATGTCAAAACTCCCAAAACTGAAGCCAGACCCTCGGCAGAGGAGGCGCAGGGACCCCCCAGGGGGCTGGAGGTCCCCCCCGCACTCCAGCAGGGTCACA